TAGTTTTTTTTTTTTTTTTTTTTTTTTTGGTTGGAAAAATTGATTTTTTTTTTTTTTTTTTTTTTTTTTTTTTTTTTGGACATCGGTTTGGAATAATTTAAAAAATCACCCAAAATCGATGTAGTGTAATTTTGATCGGTTCTTACAACCCACCAAGTCGACGGGTTATGGTCATTTCTCGTATTCTCTTCTTATTTTACTCTCTATAAAACATTTATTTTCAACCAACATATTGTTTTTCAAACTAACTTGTAAATAAAAATTTATTAACTAAAAAATTATTTATAAGGAAAAAAATTACATTATAATTAAAAAATACCTATAAAAAATATTATTTATAAGAAAAGAAAAATTACTTTATAATTGAAAAATACTAATAAGTAAAAAATTACCATTATGTAATAATTTTATTTAAGAAAAAGATTCACTTATAAAATATACAAAGTTACTTATGTAAAAAATTCACTTATAATTATTTAGAAGTCTAAACTTAAATTATAATTGTAAAATTTACTTATATTTAAAAAATATTACTTAAAATTTTAAGTAAATATTACACTTTTTTTAATTTTTTAAGTTAATATTTAACTTATATGTAAAAAAAATGACCTACAAGTGATATTTTACTTATAAGTAAAATAATTTCATATAAAAAATTATAAACTGAAAATTTTACTAAGATGTGTGTGTGTGTGATTTTATTCTTTTAAAAAAAATTAGAATCGATGAATAATAAACTCCCAAATATAGGTCGGACAATTTTGAAAAAATCACTATTAAAATCACTCAAAATCAATCTGCTCATAACCATTCAAAATGGGTACTTAAAACACGTTCGTAACCGGTACACTAAAACTCCCAAGTAGGCCCTAAGATTATTAAAGGTAATTATAAATTTACATTGTTTAAGATTTTATAGGATAATGCTGTATGTACATTCTTCTCTAATGTAGAGGAAACTTGTGCAGAGATGTTATTGATGAGTTAAAAATAAAAAATGTAGATATTGTTATCTGAAAGAGTGTAAATGAAGGTGTAAGTGAAAGTGTACATGATGTGAATCCGGTAGCAACTAACACTAACGAATCCATAGAAGAATGACAAAAATCCCAAGAAAGCTAGAAAACAAAGTTTTGGATGCGATTCACAAATCTGCGGACCAAACAATCAATAGTGTATCAAACTATTAACCTTTTCATCACGAAATTTTTGAATTTAATCCGGATTTTGGACTTAACCCAATTAATAATTGAACCAAGAAAGCTAGAAAACAAAGGTAACAAAGACACGAAGGACCTTTTGATTACAAGATTAATTGAGTCTTACCCGAGTTTTTTGAACGCCAAAATACCGTGAAATCTTGATAAGTTCGATTTGTTTAGCAAGAACAAGGATTGGAAGCAATTTGCCTCTCTGAATTAATTCTCAAAATATCAAAGTCTAGTACAATGAATGGAAAATTTGCAATTTACACCTAAACCCTAAATTAATGAAAAAAATGAAATTTCAAGAGTCCAAACATAATAGACTTACCAAAAATAAGAATTATAGCTAAATTAAAAGTTTCGCGAAAAAAAGGAAACTTCTGGTTCGAAAATGTGCTATGCGATCGCATAGCGCAATTGGATGCGACCACATAAATGAAGCAGTTCACCTGGCTAATTTCCCTGCCTCCATGTATGCGACCGCAAGGCTGGGACTACTATGCAGTCGCATAGTAGTCGGTTGACTCCAATTGTGGCCCTTCAATTCAATCGGTTCCAAGATTATTCGGCTCTGGTCCCCAACACGGAACTGGACCCTTGGCTTGCCAACTTTACTCTTTTGAACTTCGTTCCTCGAACACACATTTGTATGGCTTTGTGCATTGTCTTTAACCTGAATGTTCCTCGATCGAGCCCTTTGAGCCTTCTCCATGACCTTCGCACTCGAGATTGACCTTGGTTGACTCAAGATCACATCAGTACATGTAGTATGTTTGTTTATTATAATATTATTTGAGAAAGACGAGTTATTCTATCGTTTATACAAGTCACCTTGTAAAACCCATAGTCCAATCAAGTGATAAAACTATATTTTTGAAAAGAGGACTAAACTTGAGCGGCATAATTTTCCTTTGGACAATGAGGTGTTTTACTCAAAGAAAGAAAGTCGACAGATTTGGATAATTGAAAGGATTCACCTTAAAAATCGAATTGAACTGAGAAGAAGGAATTGGGAGAGAAATTGTAGAAACAGATCTGGATCGGACTATGTTCAATTACTTGGATCTGAGCCTCAACCCATTAAAGACCCCACGTGAATGGTGTTGAAGTTTGACCGCAAGTTAATTAAAAAAAAGGGTAATTAGCACAAAATATTCCTACCTTTCGATGTTTTTGTGGAAAACGTCCTTACCTTTCGTTTTTTGGTGGATTACACCCTCACCTTTACCTTTTTTTTACGCAAAACGTCCTTCTGTCAACTCCCCGTTAAAATGTTCCGTTAAATCAAAAGGTAATCAGCACAAAAGATTCCTACCTTTCAATATTATTGTGCAAAACGTCCTTACCTTTCATTTTTTGACATAATTAGCACAAAAGGTCCCTACATTTCAATGTTATTGTGCAAAACGTCCATACCTTTAATTTTTTTGCATTTTCACCCCTACTTTTCACCTTTCATTGCGAAAAAGGTCCTTCTCATCCATTTTTTCAATAAAATGACGATTTTACCCTCCTATTCAAATAAAACAAAAAGAAAAGATAAATTCACCAACTGCAACCATATTTTTAAAAAATTACAAAGAAATCATAAATTCCCAACCACCACCACTTTCACAACCTATCAAACTGTCAACTATAAATCAACATAATATCACATTTCTGTCACCATTCCCACCAGACTCTGGCACCGTAAATATGGTTGTTTTGGACAGATTGGTGACCAATACTATGGAGGAGGATATTGGGAAGAGTGAGGTGAGGCTGGTGGTGGTGGAGTCCGATAGATGTTGTGGTCGAAAGGTAGTGCTATATGGATCTATAGGCGGTGGCTTGGTGGGGTTATGAAAGTGGCGGTGGTGGAAAGTTTAGAATTTATCTGTAATGTTTTGAAAGATTTAGGACTATGATTACAATTAATTAATTATTTTTCTTTTCTTTTCTTTTTGTTTTATTTGAATAGGAGGGTAAAATCGTCATTTTATTAAAAAAAATGGATGAGAAGGACCTTTTTCGCAATGAAAGGTGAAAGGTAGAGGTGAAAATGCTAAAAAATGAAAGGTAGGGACGTTTTGCACAATAACATTGAAAGGTAGGGAACTTTTGTGCTAATTATGCCACAAAATGAAAGGTAGGGATGTTTTTCACAATAATATTGAAAGGTTAACAGAAGGACGTTTTGCACAAAAAAAAGGTAAAGGTGAGGGTGTAATCCGCCAAAAAACAAAAGGTAGGGACGTTTTTCACAAAAAACATTGAAAGGTAGAGACGTTTTGTGCTAATTACCCTAAAAAAAATTACATGGCTCCATGCATTTCAAGTCCACGGTGCAAAAATCAGGTGCTGAGGTTTTTTAATCAAGAATCAGGTATTATAAAATTAATCCACCATATCCCCAACAAACCCTAATCATCCTACTATTTTCTTCTCTCTCCCTATCCCCTACTTCTCTCCCCCCTCTCTATCCCGGCCAACAAGAAATATCGTTGGACCACCGCAACAGCGATAGCAAGCGACAATGTCCCGACTGCAGAGAGTCGTGATTTGAGATGCCGTTGTTACTACGTCCTACGAGCCCTACCAATCCGCAACAAATTCTCTCCTCATCCCACCAAGTTGCCGGAAGTTGTGAGCGATGATGTTGCTGTAGCTGCACATCGTGAGCCCCACTTGATCCATAGTGACATCTCTCTTCACCCCACCATACTGTCGCACGATAGCGGTTCCCTCTCCACGTGGCCTTTACCCCGACGATTTTCGAAAACATTCAACTTGACGTGCTCGATGACGTTTTCCTCCCGTGCAGCTTTCATCCTCATTGACAGTATTCTAGTGCTAGCGATTAGCATCTGATTTGTTTGCGTTGTGGTGTTGACAGATCTGATTTGTTGGCTTTTATCCTCGTCGATCGATGATCTAATTCTGGTGTTGGCATTGTGTGATAACGAGTTGGTTGTGGTGATGGCGATTGTGGGGTGCTAGCGATTTTGGATTTCATTTGTTGGTAGTGTTTTGGTGGTTGTGATGTTGGCTGTGGTGGTGAGGTGCTGGTGATGGGTGAGATGGTAGTTGTTGCTTCCATTTTGGATCTGTTTAATGGTGGTCGTCGCTTCCATTTTGGATCTATTTTGTGATGGTTGTCGTTGTCGTTGCTATCTCGACGATGGTGAAGATTGTGGTTTTTGGTCAAAATAGTTTGTTTTGTTTGAGATGATTAGGATGGTGGTGGTGGTGATGGTGCCAATTATGGTTTTGGCGACAGTGATGATTCTTACAACTGTGGTGTTGGTGGCTGGAGGCAGTAGTATTTGTGACTAAATATTGGTGTGGGGGTGTTTGTGATCAAGCTTTTGGTTAATTTGCGACCTAATAATTCGATAATTTATGACTTAAAAAATAATTTGTGATCAATTAATTTTATAATTTGTGACAGATAAACTATGAACTATAAATTTTTTGATTTGTGACTAATGAATCAACTGTGACCTATAAATTTTTTGATGTGTGATCGTAAAATAATTTGTGACTAACAATTTAATAATATGTGACCAATAAATAGTTTGAGACCTATAAGGACACATGTGACTATTAATTGTATAATTGTGACATTAATATATTTAATTAATAAAATTATTTATTTGTTTATTTATCATTTGAGTTTTGAATTTTGAAATTTAAAAGCTGATAATTAAATTGACCTATAGGTAATAGCTGAATTATGAATTTTTCCAAGCTAATTAATCGCCTAATCTTGCCCATATTAGATTCTTCCAAGCTAATGAATTTTTCCAAGCTAATTAGTCTGGATCCACTCCGATAAAGGAAATAGAAAACACAGTAAAAGAAACGAATGACGTCAAACAGAAAATGAAAGTCTAATTTCTCTCGCATATTTCACCTCTTACAGGTCTCGTTACCCAATAAACAAGCAAGGATTTAGGACTTAATCCAAATCCTCCGATCCGTTAACTTTTTTATCACCTCTGTTCACTTGGTCATTCATACAAGGTTCTCCAATGGCGTCAGCCCTGGCGAAGCGCGAAACTCTACAGCTCAAAGGACTGGTAAAAGGCAATCCGCGTTCCCGATTCTTTTCTTTCCCAGTCCTGCATCAATCAAGACCTCTGGTAAATTTTTAATTTTCAGTTGTTAAATAGACTGACCGACCGATTTATTAAGATATTGAATGAACTGTGGAAATTTCAGTAGTAGAGCATTTGGCTACTAGTGAACACCAGCCTAGATGGCAATTAAACGACATTAAATGATAAATGATAGATTCATTTATATGCAAAGTCAAGTGACTCATTTAATTGAACCAATAAAGTGGTCACCTGAGGTGCTATCTGCTAGATAGCATTGTTCTTTTGCTATAGTCAACTGGAGTTGCACAAGCATGTGATCAAGGACTGCGACAAAGGCATTGCAACTTGACCCTACTCTCCTCCAAGCCTAAATTTTGAAAAGTAATTTTCGAATAAGTGCAATTTTTAATAAATAGACTGTATTTTGTTTGCACGGGTTTCAGGCCTTAATTTATTGAATAAAGCTGTTTTTTCAATATGTAAGAATTGTTTTAGTCTTTGTTACTACAGATAATGTTGGTCATTCTTTATACTTCTTGGGTTATAGAATTTAGTTTCTAAGAGTTCTAGTAGAAATCCAAACTGTTTCCTCTTGAGTTCTTATTCCACTTGGTGCCATTAATTTAGGCATTGGATTTACAATTGAATTGAAGCTAATTTGAGCATTTTAGTTACTAATTCTCTAAATATGATCTCAAATCTTCAACTTCATGGCACCAATTACATTGTTATCGTTGTCTAAACTTCTGTTGGCTGTACTTGGCAGACATTCAAGTTTGTAGGGTCAATGCTGCTTGCAGAAAAAGTAGTAGTTTGTTAGATTGATATTGAAAGATCTAATTTTGCTGGTAACAAGAGCACTAATTTGAATTAAATATACGCTTTAAAATATTGTAAACAAATGAAAAAAAGAAAAGAAGAGGATAAACAACAACGTTATGGCATTTTTTAACTTTTAAAAACATCACCAAGCTATATATTCCCACTTTATCTTATTATAGTATTACTCTATTTTTTATGGCATTTCACATGTGGCTTCTCTTATGTTATGTAATCTGTCTTCTCAAGCATGTTGAACACAACATTCAGACAGTCCCTCTAGAGATGATCCATGCTTGCTAGACTGTGGGTAAGAATGTTTTATAGGATGATGTTACAAATTTCAATCATGTCTGGAAATCATGTTTCTCATGTCTGTAGTTTTTGTATAAGAACTTTGATTTGCTTGACATAAGAATATTCCCCCATGTAACTGGATGCGCCGTACAAGTAGTTTAAATTCAGACTGGGCATACCGGTTAATCAAATAGTCTGTTGCATAATTGTGTCACTTATTCCTTCACAAATATGATGGGTTAGTAGATTATTGTTCAATCAAAAAATTAATTATCACAAATATGTCTCAAAGAATCTAAATTTGGGAGGCATCATAACGTTTAAGGAGATCTTAAATCTTGAATGTATGCAGTTCTATAATTGCTTGTTTGAGACTGAGTAAAGAGAACCTAACATGAGATACTATAAAAAAATGGAGAAAATGATGTTGGGAAAGAGAAGGAAAAAAAAATAATATGACGGGAAGTTCTTGCATGTGGCCATTGTAACTCGTGAAGGTATTGTCATGATAATTCTACTTAAACATTTCTACAGTGCTCATGTAATTGGTGCTAGTTACTATGATTCTTGCATTGAAAATTTTCTCTCTCCTCATTCTACTTGGTCATGAATTCTTTTGATGGGATTTTTTCAAAGGACCTCCTATAACTCATTTTCCATCCAGGTCATGCATTTTCTGCTCTGGGGAGGAAAGAGGAAGCTCTTTCAGTTGGGAGAAAGGTTATGAACGTGCTGTTCGCAAATCTGCAGATTTGAAACAACCACTGGAGATGGAAGAGCTCTTGGAAAGTGCAAAATGCATTGATTCTATTGCCCAAAAGAACCAAGCTGTGAAGTCAACTAAGTCATCCTCTGCTGCATCTGAATCTGTTAATACTGTTGAATCAAGTGAAACAGTTAACCACCATGAGAATTCAAATGGTAAAATTGAACCATGCAGCAAGTCAACTGATTGTTGAATGCCGATGACAACTTATATGACAGATCAGAATTTCTTTAGGACAAAGTTGTTTGCTATTTCCAAATTTTCAGAGGTGAAAGCATATCATTCTTTTTAATAAAAAATTTTGTCGTTATTACTCTATTAAAGAAAAGGGAAACATTTTATTTTTATTATTATTATTATTAATATTTTTTTTTTAAACTTTTGGACGTGTTCTAAAGAACTGCTCATTGTTTGTTGAATTGCAGAGCATTACGTGTGGCCAAGGCTGTAATTAAGGAGAATAAGTATGGGCGTGACAAAAAGGATAACGTTGTTTATTTGACTGATGATGGTAAAGTGCAAGAAGTGAGTAATATTGATGTTCAGTAGTGAAAGTTAATCCTGCTCTTCTTTTCTGTTGTTTTCAATAGACATGGAATTGATATTCTCTGCAATTCTTACAAACCTAAAAATCTTTTCTTCCAAGCAACCATTTGACTTATGAAGGTGTTGACAGTTTTCTTCCAAGAAATTGAACTTGCTACTAATATACACATTGTCAACATCTTTTGTGAGTAATGGAACTATTGACTTGTACCCATTGGAGAGTCAAAAGGTTTTGGAGATATAACAGTTTCTTTCTTCAGGGATAAAGCTGAATTCTCATGTATGAAAAATGGAGGATGAACTTTAATTTATCATATTATAAAAATTAAGTATTTATAATCAATCACTTAAACACATCTTGCAGATAATGAATGCAGAATCTTTTTCAGATCTTCACAAAATTATTGGTGAGGATTTCTGGTTGGCTTCTTGGTGTAACAGTACGGCAATTGAGGGATATTATTTGTTTTCCTGTTTTTCGTTTATTAAATTTCCATTTGCTGTTTTATTAAGTTTATCTTGTAATGGTATGTTATTGGTAAGTAGAATTTCTAATATTGACCCCATTTGGTCATGTTTTCCTGTTGAAGCACCTTGAAAGAACAAGAATCACCCTGCTAAAATCGTAAGATACAAAGTTTTACCCATGTTGAATTGATTGCTTTTGTTGACTCATTTGCTGATTGGCTGCTTTTTTGTGTTTTTCATCCTTACAGGGACGAAAATGGATTTGACTTTGCAATTAGAACTCCTTGTACACCTTCTAGGTGGGAGGACTTTGAAGTGGAAATGACATAAGCATGGGAGTTATGTCTTCATGTGGAAATGACTTCTAGGTTATTGCATCGGCACATTTCACAATTTCTTTTAATTCAACTCGTTATTGAGTGGGAAATTAATGATCTTCTATCTTTTTGACCAAAAGTTGAGCAGAAAAGCTCATCACTTTCTGCTGATTCTATACTAATATTTATTGAGGTTCAACAACGGATGTGCAGGCACTATGTGATGCTTATTTTGGGGAAAATTATGGGTCAGCAGATTTTGATGTGCTTGAGAATGTGAGGGGGGCAATTTTAAGGATTGCATATTACTGGTGATATATGATTTGCCGTGCATGCCAATGATCAGTCCATATGGTTAATATATTATTTTCTTTTATAATAAGTCATACTATTTTGCAGGTATAATTTCATGCCACTAGTCAGGGGAACTGGTATTGCTGGGACAGTTGCTTGCCATTAATATGGAGTTCACTGGGAGCATTCCAGAAGGTCTGCATGTGGATTGTGAAGAAATTCTGGAATCCAATACCAATTTCTTTGTGTCTTCCTGTAGAGAGTTGGCTTTATCCTTCTCTCAAGATCTGTAAGTCTTGCAAAGGGTACCCTGATGTAGCATCAACTCTCAAAACGACAGGATTGGTTGTTGCTGCTTTGAGCACCTACTCTGAATGGGCAAACTTGCATATTTTAGTCAGTATGTATCTTGGATATTGAATTTCGTGACTCCTGAACTACTCTGAAAATGGAAAATTTCTTAAGTTCAAAAGAACTCATCACAGGCTACTAAGAAACGAAATAAAGATTATATGGAATGAATTTTACATTGAAACGAGATTTATTTTTGTAATACGATTACATTTTTGTTCATCGTATGAGTTGCCTCACAATTTGCTGTAATTTTTTAATCTGTAATGGTTCTTATTCTTCTCTGCATGACATCTTTTTGCAGATTATTATGAACAAAACAACCATTTTTTGGTCGTACCCTGTGTTTCGCGCGGGTTAGTCGCTAACAATTAAAAAGAGATCAGACGATTGTGTAAGGGACAAACCTCTTGAGACAAAGTTCCAAAAATGGGTGTTTTTATTGGCGATGACTTTATAATTGGAAAATAAAAACAGAATGCCTCCAAGGAGCACAAGCACACGAGTTACTGAAAAAGAAGTATTTAAATCCAAACTAAGAAATTTAAAGTTACATATTCTCTATTTGAGAGTATTTGATTCAGGGTCTTTTGCTCTATATCTTTTCTTCCTTTTATACTCCCTGGATGATATCTTCGTGATCAACCGCTTAAAAACTGTTTGATCGTTCTATAACTGCCCACTTTCCTCGTAGTGGCCAACTTGTCATGGAACTGCCTTCTCTAACTGCTGTCATTACTTTTTGTCGTTCAACCGTCTTCAATTAAATTCCTTGAATCGTGGAACGTGATAAGACTACCCAATAATTGCTTCATTAACTGCACTTTTGAGTAACCATAACATCTTATGTTTGCTAAGATGCTGGGCGACTCGAATGTTTGGACGAGAGTAGGGTCACAGCTCTGGGTGACTGCATGGCAATTCATTTGCTCAAATCTTGGGCGACTTGCAACCTTGGGCGATGGTATTACCGCGTTCATGGGCTTCCCTATTTGGGCCTTTATCCTGCATTGCCTGATTGTGTCGTTCTTTGTGCTATTTAATTTTGGGGATCTTCCAATTGGGCTTCATTTCTTGGGCTATTCGACTTGGGCTGAACTTTTTGTGTGTCAACAATTACCCGCAATATGGCAGAATTAATACCAATTATTAATTTTTGCCATATTCATTTTGTGTTTCCCAGCAATATTCGAAATTCCCAAGAATTTCAATCATTGTTTTCTTCCATAGTTTGAAAAGGTGCGACGTTTGCAAATCCTTATAACCCCCAAATACGCCATTTCATTGCACCACTAAATAACGTCTCATTTTTTCGCGCTTCTCTCTCGCAATATTACTGTTCATCTCCTTGTTTCTCTGCTACGTAACTCTAAAAAACTCTATTTCTTCCTAATGGCTGCTTCACAATCCCAGGTGACTCCTTCAGCTTCGAAGACTTTCAGAAACTCCTTACTCGGCTATATATAACTCCGAACTTCCTTGCACCGGCCAATGTCGAACTCAATGAGTTCTATCTAGGTCTTTTATTCAACAATGTCGAGGTCATCGAACAAGCGGCAGTTGATCAGCTGTTCCCTTGTACTCAAGGCCCTCCGTTTCTAAATTCTTTGCCACTGGGGCCACTGGGCGAAAGAGGTATTCGCACTTGGCCTAAATCTGATGTCGTTTTTCGTAGATGGCATGCTCACCTTGTGGATCATGGTCCTACTAAGGCAATTTTTGATAATGCTAGGATTTCTAATTTGTTAGAAATCTCTCTCCAACCCCCTATTTTTGACCCAACACTTTTTTCAATCGCTTTAAGTTTTTGGTCTTCTGAGTATAATACTTTTGTTTTTCCTGTTGGTCTCATGTCCATTACCTTAAGGGATGTTAGGGCCCTAGTAAATCTGCCACCTTTGGGCGCTACCATTTTCCCTAGTATTTTGATTTCTGGTGTCGCCCCAAAATTTGATAGAGGCCTCACCGAGTCTTATTCAAGCCTGCAAACCCTTCAAAACCACTCGAGCGCTGAGCCTTCCCATACTGAGCGAGTGGCCTTTCTTCTGATTTGGCTTTGTAAATACATTTTGTGTGTGCCAAGCATAAAGCCCTCCATGAGCTATTTACCCATAGCACACGAATTGGCGAGTGGTAGGTCTCTGAATTTGTGTTCTTTCTTTTTAGCTGCCCTCTATAGAAGCATGGGTTCTCTTCAATCCCAATTGAAGAATGGTGCATCTCCAAAGGCAGTAGGCCTCTTTGGTTCACTCAAATGTGGTTGAGAGCCTATTTTCCATTGCTTGGTGCTCCATCTTTTTCTAGTCCTTCTGCTAGCTGCTATGGGCTAGCCATTGATCCCCTGACTCCTGTAAATATGTCCAGAAGGGACATTTTTTCATTCTTTTATACTTTGGATTCAATCTCTTCCTTCTTTCCTTTTCGTCCCTTTTTGACTCCAGATTATGTGCAACCTCCATCCACTCTGGATAGTGCGAACACTTCCTTGTTCGTTTGGATTCAATTTTTGATCGGGAGGGAGTTGTTCCATGATATTTTGACTGGGACCAATGCCAAAGCTGGGGTAGAAATATATGCTCCCCAATTTTTTGCTCGCCAACTTGGTTTTGGCCAAACTTGGCCCGTTGCCCCTTGCTATTCAAGGAATTTGATAGACCGCTTCATCACCATTAATAAGGCAGAGGCAGAGGCTATAAATGTTCGCAATATTCTTTTGACGAGCAGCTTTTCATTAGCCCCCTTCAATCCTAGCCGTGCCATCCATCCCCTTTTTGAACGACTCTGGCCGTCAGTGAAGCGCAGATTGTTTGCGACTGATGCTAATCGTGCTTTCCATTCACTGGACCAGCCAAACATTTCTTCCACCTCTCCTGTCTTGGTCACTCCTGTGTCCATTAGGAGTCCCTCTTCCTCTGCTCGTGCTAAATAATCTGCCCGTCCATCGACTTCTCTTCCTGCCAAGCCCATTGTAACTAAAAGTGCCCCAAGCCGCAAACGGCCAGCCTCAGCGTCTCCCATTTTGGAGGATGATGCTGATGATGATGATGATACCCCTCTCATCGTCAGGAGGAAGGTAATTAAATTGGTTTACTCATAAGCATACCTTTCCATACTTGAAACTTTTCTATGTGCTGATAGTTTATTTGGACTTCTCAGAAAAGTTCACTCTCTCCCTTGAAGGCTTTGGTGTTGGCAGCTCCTGCTCCATCATCCTTTGCTGGGGCTGCTTTGTCCAAACCAGCTGATGAAGGGACTATGCTTAAAGAGAAATCTTCAGTCCCAAAATCTTCATCACAACCAATGGACGAGCCACCTTCTTCCCAAGGCGTTGACCCCCCAAACGTCGAAGCAGAAGGTAATTCATTTTTTGATGCTTTACCTTTGCTTGTGCTATTGGTTTTGATTTGTTGCCTTTTGAGTTCTGCAGATGCTCCCATGAGTCTGCCCGTTGCGGCAAGGTCTTCTCGCTTAGACAAGGGAAAGTCTTCACGAATGGTGGAGCCACAGGTGGCAGATTTGGCTAGGGATATGCCACCTTCCAAGATTGTTGATGAGGTAATCTTTGCTTCACCTTTACCTCCACTTTGTTTAGTGTAGTGGAAACCTTCAATATTGGCGATTTTCTTTGCAGGATCTGATAAAATTGTGTGTTCCATTCAAGACTTGTCACTTCCTGGGGGCAAGTCAAGACATCTCGCTCTGCTTCAACAAGTTGTCATTCTGCTTCTTCAGAGGAAGATATGAAGTTCCTTAAGCAGTCGATATTTGAGTATGTGTCCTTTATGGATATGGACATCGGTAAGGCTAGTGCTACCAAGCATAAGGATAAGTTTGAGCATTTGAATGCGAAATTGGAGTAAGCACTGACACTTCCGTCGCTCAATCTTTCTGCTGATTTTAAAGCGACGTTGAAAGTTGTCCATTCCGAGGTCCTCTCCTTACTGGCCAAGAATGTTGAACTGAAGGCCAAAAGTACTCAATATCTTCGCGTCGTGTATGAAAAAGAGTCTTTGCTTCTAGAGATCAACAAAGCTAAGGATGAGTTGAAAGAAATCTCTTCCGAAGTCATGATTGAAGACTCTTTGATGACTAGTTTGGCTGCTCAGATGAAGGAGCTTCAAGCCAAGATGGACGACTGCAAGACGAGAATGGCTGCTAAAAAGCGTAATGCCTCCCGAGGAATTGAGCGAACTAAGTCTTTGGTCGAGCAGTACAAAAAGTTGGAAGTTGATGATGATGTTGTGGCTGAATTGAATATCACTTCTTCTCGACAGAGCGAGGACTGGGGGAGACTTAGGGAAATAATTCGTTTGGTATGGGACGAATTGTAATTAAGACATATAATGCCTTAACTTTTTCTTTTTGTAATTTCGTATTGACTTTCCCTTTGTAACCTTGTACTGATATAACAGCAGCCATCATTGTTAATGAATAACTATTTTAGCCTCTTGTGTATTTATTAACATTCGTCTTTTAATCGTCAATCGCTCAGGCATTTAACTGCTTTATGCTAAAATTTTTGCACATTTTCTCTTGATATTTCTGCCCGACTTTGGGCCACTTAATCCCATTTACTAGACGCGAATATGGCTGCTCATATTCTGTCTTTTCACCTTCACCCCCTATAAATGCACATCATATTCTGTCTTTTCACCTTCACCTCCCTATAAATACACGTATACTTCATACTTTCCATCTTCATTTCCATTTTCTTCTTCAACAAACCAATTTGCTGCCATCACTTGGCATTTTTGACAATCAATCCAAAACTTTCGTTTTCCATGGAAATGGATCATCTAATTCGCCCACTTTGCCATCTTTCTTGATGTCACCTTTGGTATGGGAGATATAGGAAATATTCTTTGGCCAGCAGCAAAGTTCTTCCCATCATCTCCGTTCCTACAAGGAGTTCAATGATGGAAGGCAATTTTTGGGGTGCTTGCAGGCCACCTTGCTTGCTGAGAGTACCTCTCAGCCTCTTTGCCCGTCGTTGCAGCGATGCATTTAGGAAGGCGATGTGAGGGCGCTTCATCTTCTTTTCTGCTTGCTGAGAGTGCTTCTCGGCCTCCCTGCTTGCCCTTGCAGCAGTGCGATCAGGATGGCGATCAAGGCCAGTACACCCTCTTACTCGGCGATTGATCGGGAGATTAGTTTGCTCTTAATTGTAGTTTATAGAGCATTTAGCATCTTGTATTTCGCAGCTTTGTAATGAACATTTGATAATAAAGGAATTTATTTGAACGTATTTCGCTCTGGCCCTTTTTACTCTACGGTCATTCAAT